GGATTAGCCGCGTGTAGTGGATACTAACGTCATTCTCGTCTTTCCATCGGGGGCGGGGGTTCAATATCTACATGGCCCTCTTCGACTTTTACCGGGCTCTGGGGGACGGCTAGAGAGAGCATGGGGATATTGGGGAGCGAGGGCCTGCGTTGAGGGGCCCCGTCTTCTGGGGACAGGTGGGTTGAGTATGAAGGAGTGGGATATCCACTGGTGGAGCTACGTGCGGTGAATACGGGTGACTGTGCGTATTTTCTCTGGTATGTACCGCAGCTGGGGCCTGCCGATTGTATAATCCGGCTGCTAGGTGAAGGGGGGTCTTGGTCTTGGTCGGATGTACTGCCAAACTTAATATTTGTTAAACTGGTGAAGAGTCTGGGAAGTCGAATGCCGTTCCTGCGCCTAAGATGGTGTTTTGGGTCTTTATTCTCATACCAAGAATGTACACTTTCCGGTATGTTGCCTTGAGAGGCAGAACGCCCTTTAGAAACGATTGATATCCTTTCCGGTCCAGTAATAACCCATGGGCTGCGATAAACGCCATTCTCCTCCATTGGTTGTGACTCTGGGTTGGACAGGCTTGCGCTTGGTAGCTTTGATAAGTCAAACATCGAGTTTGAATTTAGTCGCCCCAGAGCAGGTTTAGCATTGCTCTGTGATGTGCTTGATGATAGTCGGCGATGGCGGGATCTGTCCGTCCAAAACGGAATATGTATGCGGCTTTTTGGTGCAGGGGCAGCCAGCGGCGAAGGTGTACGTGCGGTTGAAGTAACTAGCTCAGGTGGCTGTGGGCCATTGCGAAAACTGGTATCAACATGGTTGCTGGACTGCGCATAGGTTGGCAGGGAAGGAGAATACGGAGGGAGGTCGTTATCTGATGAGCTAGATATCTTCGAACCATCTCGGTTGATATGGAATAACCTTCCGCCTAACATGAGATCAATGCTTCGAGCACTTCGAGTGCTTCGGTCATCGTCTTGTAGTGTAGCGATCGTAGAATTTGTTATCGTCGATACGATGCTAGAAGCTCGACTAGGTCGCACCTCCAGGCTCGTTGGCATTCTAGCAGCCTGGATTGGTGTTTCTGCGGCTTCTTCTGATCCTGGTAGGAGGGAGTAGAAGCAGAAGAACTGGCAGGATATCCAAAAGCTCTCCCAAAGAATGGTGTTCCGGCAGTTGCCTCTTGTTGCGTATAGAGCGATTCGCTGGAGTTTCAGGACGCGAGTCGGAATTATCCATGATCAAAAAAGCAATGGAAAGCTGCCGCGACATCGTTAGCTTTTCTTCAACAGAACA